CTGTAAACCGCTTAGAGAGGGCTGAAAGCCCTATGAAGCGGTATATAAGTCTAACTGCTATTGCTATTGCTCTGCAATACAACAATCTTTAGGGGACAACTTGAATAGAGGCCATTTGTGAGGAAATACATGCATTTAGTACTTACAGGAATTCATTTCCCTTGCTAGTACATGGACCGATATTTTGTGCCTTCTTTGGGCATCTACTGCCAACAATTCCTAGATGCAAATAAATTAGGGTTAATTATTCCTGTAAAAATCAAGAAAAAAATCCATCTTTGCAATGAGAAGAAATCATGGAAATGAGCTAAACAAACCATACCCTGCAGCAAAGGGTTTTCGAGAAATATTAATGCTAAATCAAATCAAATCAAATTTATTTAACTACGGTAAATGACCAACCAGGTAAAAAAGAAAAAGGAAATAATGACTGAATACGATTAAAGCAGTATAACAGTAACAGAAAACATTTTTAAAATAGACTTAAAACCAGAGAATGAATAAAATAATAATGTGTAAAACGTAAGATAAAATAATGGGATAAAATACAAATAACAGAGTGAAGATGCTCAGTCCAAAATTAGGACATATTATGTCTTCTTATGGAAATTGCTGCAGAAAGAAATTTAGCAATTCTACTGCTAACAGTGGGGTTCCGGTCTATGAGTAGGACCCAGACAGCCTTTCCCTCATTGAACAATCCTAGGCTTTTGTCATATGATCTTAAATTGCCACAATCTTTATAAAACTGCCAAGTATATTATAACTTAGTATTACAAATATGTCTTTTAATAATAATTTAACCAGAACCTAGATCAACTTACCTTATAAAACTGCACTATATTATCCTTAGTAAGGGTTTTGAGATATGCCACTTCAGTGTTATCTGGACAACAAAGTTAACAAATTTAGTATACACAAAATATGTAAGTTTGATGTGTGCAACGTCAGGTTTCCATGTCTAACGAATCTTTTAAAATCTTCCAACCTGGTTCCCATTGCCCTAACTGCTGGCAGAGAATGTAATGTTTTAAATGGATAACCTTGCATTTTAACACTTCAGTCTAACTGTTCAGTCTATCTGATGTTACCGAATCTGGCAATAAAACATTTGCAAGAAAACCATTAAGCTCAGACAGAACCAAGGACCCCAGAGTTAAGCCCTGGGCTACAAATATTCCATCGGTAATACTTCAGTCTATCCACATTATCTACGCCCTGCATGGTTTTATAAACCTCAATCCTGTCACTCTTTTATCCTTCATTCCACACTAAACAACCTCAATTGCAGTATGGAAGCTGTAGGCCATTAAATATTTTTAACATCCCCTCTTGCATGATTTCTGTAATAATTCAGAATTGTACAAAATGTTCAAAGGGTAAAATAGTAACATTTCACACCATTTCACAGTGCTTTACAGCCCTCTCTAAGCAGTTTACAGTGCCACCACGGCTCATAATTCCAGTGTTGAGACTGTCACTAATTTTAAAACTATAATAGGAATTATCATGGAAGGTGAGATTTCATTTGATCTCTAATATTCTTGCTTCCAATTGGCTCATGGTAAGCTTAGCTTTTTTAATCTTACCTCTATCAAAGTTATATTGCTGGGAAATGATTTCATCCCAATACTTTGCACACTCGGCAGATAGTTTCTTTGGTTTGTCAAGGCGGCGAATGGCTAAAGCCTGGATGTGTTTCTGGAAAGCTTCTTCAGACATATCTTCTATGGATTTCTCCATGGTTTTTAAAAAGGCTTCCACCCTGCTTTCTAGGTAGTGTGGCGGCTTTTCTGATTGGATGATGAACCGCAGACCTTGGACACCATTAGCCCTTCGGGGACCACTGAACACAATGTAACCTGGGGGGGGGAGGGGGAGTCAACACATCAGCAATTATTTATTTATTTTATTTATTAGTTAGACTTACATACCGCTTCATAGGGCTTTCAGCCCTCTCTAAGCGGTTTACAGAGTCCCCCACAGTCTGGGTCCTCATTTCACCCACCTCGGAAGGATGGAAGGCTGAGTCAACCNATGGGGTATACATGTGAGTGTATGAAAATGAAAATAAAATATATTAAAAAAGAAGAAGAAGCAGGGTTTAGTAATGTTTTGAAGGGGACATGGTCTTCCGTTCTACAATTGAGCAAAAATCCAATAAATGGATATAGATCGAGTGACAGAGGTTGCTTTCGAGAATCCCTCAACTTATAACCTCCTGCAAAATTAAAGATGATTTTTAAAAAGGGGACTTTGATTAGGCAGAAATGGTGGCTGATGAGAGACAAACTAGCCAATTGTTGTACGTCCACTGCCCCCCCCCCCTTTGCATTTAGGGATCAATCTCTCGTGCGTTCCTGCCCAAGATTCCAGATTGAGTACTTCCAAATATAAGATTCAGTCTGAAAAATGGGCCAATATTATGTCAGAAAAAAGATGTTTTGTCCACGTTGCAGCCCCAATATTTAGTGTTGTAATAAAGATCATCCCCTATATTTAACTTGGATACAAGCCATGTTATATTTGGGACATAAATGAATTTCCATGCTTTTTTCATGCTCGTAACTTCTGGTATAAAGAGAGTAAACATGTATGACTATGGAAGTAATAACTACAGTGTTTTAAAATATTCGCGACCCATTAGGAATGACACTTTATTCTAAAATCTTATTTTCATTGCAGGAGTAACTGACAGTTCTTGGCCTCTCTGCAAGCTTAAATATCCCTCCCACATCCGTTTTAAATTTATAGTACAGGCAGTTCTTGGTTAAAAACTATGGCAAGAAAGGTCATAAACTGGGCCAAAACTCACTTAACAACTACCTTGCGCAGCAATGAAAATTTTGGGCCCAATTGTGGTCATAAGTTGAAGACTATCTGTATGAATTTCTACCTTTAAAAAAACCCTCATATAACACATATAAATTTTAACTAATTTTACAAATATATATAGCAGTAGAAATGGGATATTGGGCAACGACAAAGAGAAACTTTGTTAGGCAAATGTAGAGACTATAGAGGTGAAGGTAAATTACAAATAATCCTTGACTTACGACGACAATTGGGACCAGGATATTGGTCACTAAGTGATGCGGTTGTAAACTGAGAACGTCGTATGACACCATCGCTTAGCAATTGCAATCCTGGCAATTATCCTCTTCCCAAGTCATTCTATCCTTGGTTCCTTCGAGACTGTCTAAAATCTTTTCCATTTTAGCCACCTGCACCCTTGTCATCCCCATATTAATTTTATTGATTTGATCTTTATCCCACCTTTACTTTTTTAATTTTAGTGAAATAGTGATCGCGCATTAAAAAAAAAACCCCTGCTCACTGATGTTTGAAATGTAGCTCCTGCCCAAGATGCTTGAGGACCAACTGTGGCCTTTGGCCTGGAAAAAAAATGGTACACCCAGTCTAAAAAGGATCCAGTTTCTGGAATACTGGCCTAGATCCTTAATAAAACTTGGAACTAAAACATCTTTCTGACATTGACCTGGGATATGACGTCTGAAGAGTCTTCCTTGCAGAGAGAGTGAAGGCTTCTGGTAGAACTTACAAGGGGGTGAGAGAGATGTGCTGTATCTCCTAATGGCTGATGGGCTTCCTGAGTGGGTGTTTATTGAGTGGTGAATATCTGAACGACGTCAAATATTTTTGATCTGCCCAGCAACCCCAGAACTACACGACTCGCAGGCTGTATGCTACACTCCGGGTAGCTGGAGCTGTGCCCATTAAGGGCCAGTTGGTCTCGCCACCCTGCGTTCCAAGACTCCTTACACCCTGTGCCTTGCCACTCCAGCTGACCTTCACCTCTCCGTTTCTGGACTGGGTGGAACTAAAAGGGCAGAAAAAAAACACAAAGTGGCCCTTTCCTTTTCATCATGCTCTTGGGCTTTGCAACTTAAAAAAAAAGGGGGGGGGAATCTCAAAGCAATAGCAATAGCAGTTAGACTTATATACCGCTTCATAGGGCTTTCAGCAGATGAGAATCACCAAAACAGGCCCAATTATAGGTGTTGTCTTTTCATTGCAATATAGAACTCAGGAGGGCAGTAAATTGGTCATTCTTGTCTTAAAATGTGACTAGAACTAGTCCCAGTAACAAGAAAGTTGTACAAATTTGTAGTGTCATTCTAGGACAGGCTCCTACCACCTCACACTCTCCAGTTGTGATAGGATGATGATTGTCCAGAATTTTCACTAAGTATTACCAAACTCCCTGGGACTCCCAAGAGTAATCCTGCAATGCAAAGACACCCGAAGACACTAAATTGGGAAGAAAACTATATAAAAAGAGAAATCTTTATACGGATTTTACCATAAATGTTGTTGCATGTTTTTTTCATGCTTTGTGAGTAAAAATAATTGGATACAATTATGTTTAGCATTATTTGTTGGATAACTGGATAACTATTCTTCTACAGATTTAACGGGGGTTCCACAAGACGACATGGATCTTGAAGGCTCTATCCAGCCCCTCTTAGATGGAACGGGTGATGTGAATTTTAATGCTGTATTTTTAATTTTATTTCTATTTTTAAATTGAAATGTTTCTTGTCTGTGGTGAGCCGCCCAGAGTCCCCTGGGAGTGGGCGGCATACAAATTCTAATAAACTTGAAACTATAGCTGTGTGGATACCCTTGTTCTAATAAGCAGCAAACAGAATTGTGTTCGTATTCACATTCCAAATGACCTCTTGCCAATAGACTTCAGAGCACTGATAAACCCTCTATGTAGCTTCAACAAACTGCCATTTGTTACAGTGGGAACAAAGCACCTGACAGATGCCATCAGATCGGCTTATAGTTTGTTTTGATGTTAAGTAACAATGCTCTGATCTTGTATCTTCTTGTACCTTCAAAGAAGAATCTTTGAAGCTTACAGTTAAAATGCTCCTAGTTGGAATATACATCTTCTTGAGTAACAAAATGATGAACCTCCAAGGCATTCAAGTATATGGTGTAAGAATATGCTGTCATTTTCAGATTAACCCATCAAGGTGAAATATAATAATTATATAGCACGTCAGTTAAGTCTATGTACTCTCTTTAGTTATTTTTCTACATTAGTGTAAACTGCTCTATTGTTTCTTCCAGAAGATGTCATGTACATTTTACAATAAATAAGGCATCAGTGGAATTAATCGTAACGAAAGCATATAAGTGATTTAACTCTAATGATACACACATTCTAGTCTCATCTTTTAAAGCCTTTAATATTTGAGTGTTAAGAGCCTCGTGTCTAATGACCTAATACTGGAATCAGGGGAATGAACTTGGAAAGTTAGCATGAACTGCAATAACATACTGCCGTTGGAAATACAAATGCCATTTCACTCTCCAGCCCCAAATTAGCACCTGATCTTTCTCCATCTGCTTTTGGTGGCAAAACTACTCAAAAACCACTGCTTCATTAATATTTTTTTTTAGTTTGACAATTAAAATACTCATTCCATTTATACTCGTTTTTGGTTTGTTTTGCAGAATCGCCTCCCCTTCTTTCCTCAAAATCAATCGGCAAATGGTTGCTACTTTGAATCATAAATAACAAATTATACAGTGCTATTTACAAGTCGTCTCTGACAAAGGACCACAATGGACGCTGCCTATTACGGTCACTTGCTGTGACAGTCGCAAAGCAGGCCACAGGCCTAATGTTCCTCTTTTTATGGCAGTAGTTAAGAGAAGGCTGTGGTCATTAAGCAAAGCAGGGTTTCTTATGGCCAGTTTTACAAGAGAGTATTGTGAAACGCAGCCGCGTGACCACGGGATGCGGTAAACGCAGCATGTTGTCCGACATCTGCAGCTCAGTCACATGACTTGTGAAGGGGGCCTGACTGCCAGGACTTCAAATTTGGGTGATAACTTCTCTTTCTCGGGACAGCTTAACTTTTGGACGGTCAATTAAGCGACAGGTTGTAAGTCAAAGGTGACTGAAGTGCTACATAAAAGGGATGCAGGCTAAGATTTTAGGCTGCATTTAAAATACTGAGATCTGTTGAGCAGACGAATGTGCATGAACTCTGTAATTGTGCATTAATTCCCACTTTCTATTCCTAGAAAGAGCTCTGTGTGGCATGGGAGGGAGGGAGAGGAAGGGAGAGGGAGAGAGAGAGGGAGGCTGATCGTGCTAGGTGACCACACTTGACGTTCATACAGTATGCAGGGAATCTAGGCAAATATTAAAATTGCGAGTTTCTGATAAAGGAGGAGTGTTTGCCTACATTACAATTTAAATAACTACCAAGAATTATTGATGGCCTTTTAAGAAGATACAGTACACCCAAATCTCGTTCGACTTGTCCTAAAACAGTACATGACAAATGGAAGGGGGAAAAAAAAATAGCCATAGTAATTTTATTTATAAGTCAAAGAAACATTATCAGTGCAACCTTAAGAAAACGTAAAATTTATAAAGATAAAGTAACGCTCTTGGCAAGAAAAACATGGCTACCCAAGTGTTTCCAGCATTTTACTAGTCTGTATATAAAATCTTCTCAAACAGATATAAAGATTAAAACTATTTTGACTTTTCTAATAACGCTTCCAAGATATTTGTTAATTTTTTTCTCCCCTTTTCCACTGATTTTTACATAGAATCTAAATGGCTGCTTCCAAGAATCTTTTATTTTTTTAATGGTATCACTCCATGCTTCCCTTAAAAACATCAATATGGCCTTTTAATAATATTTTCTTTCTTGTACAGTAAAATATGCTTCCAAAACAGTTGATCTTTGTTTAAAAAAGTAATGATTTGCAAGTGGAAGATCAGACTGGTATGGAAACTTCTTCACAATCCATGCAAACTAAACTTTTAAAGGGCCACATTATTGTAAAATATACCATTTACCTACAC